CCGAGGTTACCTCGAGGTTAGTTCGAAATATTTCAAAATATTCTTTTTTATAATTCTTATTTTATCTAATGTGGTTACAGTAAAAAAAGACTTGTCCCGTTGCCTCTAATGAACAATTTTCATTCAATCAGTAGATTTATTAGGCCTTCAATTTGTATTTGTTGATCAGCTTTGTGGATGGCTGTTTATATGTAATTTACATGTTGGTTTTCCCTTTGTAATTTCATATAAATCAAACTACTCACTACTCAGTTCAACAATTCACAAAATAATATCTTGTGTAAAAGATGAATTATGTGCTTGGTTTCATAATAAGCCTACATTTCTTGCCTATTTGTATAGAAAGCAGATTCTGATGATTCTGGAACTGAAGAACCTGGGGCAGAAGATGACTTCTATACTCAACCGGAGTTAGGTTGTAAAGCAGTACGCCCTGTTGTTAATCACAAACCGGATAAATTAGCAGAAAGATTGACTTCATTAACTATAGCTAGAGATAGAGGCAATGTTCCTGAGGGTTTAGTGGATTCTTTACCACCAGAGGGTAAGAATTGAATACTCTATGCAGAAGCATCTTAACCTTCATCAAGATTTCATAAATGGATGGTTCTTTTTGTGAAAAAATATTCACCTTCAACCTGGAAAGTATCACACCTGATTATATTTTTAAAAATTTGTCATTCAATCGGAACAATCTTTGATTTGGAATGTCATTAAAAGTATTTTGATTTCTACATATAGATTTGGGCACTTTCAAAAGTTTTAAAATGCAATGTGCTTGACTAATTTGGTAGTCACATCTGCAATTATGCCTGGTCATGAATTTGAACATTCAGTAGACATAAGTATCACCTTAAATGATCAGCTTATATGTGAATATTTCAGTGTTATTGGTAGTGTTTAAACATCTAGACGATATATCGTTATATACAGCCGGTAATGTGTGTACAAGATGGAGGCAGATTTTAGATGGTGAAACATCTGAGAAAGAATGGAAACATTTTATACAATTACGATGGCCATTATTTCTTCCTCAAAATCCTGTTAAATGTTGGAAAACTATCTACACCAATTTGTAAGTCCAAAACAAATCGCACAATCTACTCAGCTCAAATCTGATTTAAATTCAGCCTTAGATCTTTCTTTTTGTATACTTTAAAAGTTACTTTACTCATACTAGAATCTTACATATTTATATGAAGGGCATGTTGATAAATTCAACCAATCAAATTGGATGGATTTATCGCTATTGGCTATATTCGGGGATATTTACTATAAAAAATTGGCATATAAAAAATTTGAGTTTTTATGACTGGAAAAAAGTATGTAAAAAAGAATTTTGAAAGATCTGGAATGATGCAATAAGCGAAAAATTAATATTCATTTTTAAAAAAAGCTGTAGGTTAGAATATAAAGTTAATCTGCATGTCTATTTCTGTAGCCATGTGTATCATAACACTTTGAACTTAGTTACTAACCTGACGAAATAATAAGCATTATTAGATGGAGGGTCAGAGGTCAATTCTCAAGGTTTTATGGGGTTGACCCCTCTACATATTACAGTGAGTATGATATATTCTATTGTCAAATCTAACATAAAATTGTCTTATTCTGATAGAAATGTAGTCATTAGACATTTTGGAGCATCTTTTTGACCCGACTGGCAGTCAGATATAATGATAAACATACATACTTACTTTAATACTGTTCCATTTTATTATATTTACATATTTTTATTTCAAAAGACTAATTTATTTGGTGAGTTCACATATCTCTGGCTTTTTTGTTCCAGTCTCAACAAGACCACCAGAGGGCAGCAATAGTCTTATTACAAAATGGAGCAGACGTGACTATAATAGATGATCAGGGGAAATCACCAGTCGATCTCGCCAAGTCAAAGAAAATGAAGTCAACTTTAAAAGAAGCCTGGACAGAAGCAACTCAGAAAAAGATTACTCCAATATTAGCTCCAGTACGAGTTCCTACTAGAGAAGATTGTAAAAGTCAGAAATCAAAACGTAGAAAAGGAGAAGTTATATTCGATGTAAGTCCTAGCTGTTATTGTTTTTGAAAGGGAACTTCATTGGTCAAAATATCTTCACAAATTTGTAGTGAATTCATAACTTTCTCACTAACAATGGTAAACGTCAAATGACAGACGATTGAATTTCAATACTCTCCAATACTGTAACACTTTTGAATAAATCAAAATGGATTAAAATATGGACCTAGAAGAATCTCCAATTTTTTAATGAAAATTTTCCCAATTTCAGGGTTTAGTTACAACACCAGTTCAAAATAATATAAGTAAGTTGAAGAGTTTTTCATAGTTTTTACTATCTATACTATTTGAGATTTTTTTAGGTATATGAATATTTGATAATGAGTAAGGTATGTTGTATGGTCTTGGATTGTCGAAATACCATTTTGTATATCTAATTTATTATTTAATCTTTGTTAGGACCTACAGTATTGAGACCAGTAACAACTGTTAGTAATTCTGATAATCTGATATATTTATTATTATTTGTTGTTAGGACCTACAGTATCGAGATCAGTAACAACTGTTAGTAATTCTGATAATCTGATATATTTATTATTATTTGTTGTTAGGACCTACAGTATTGAGATCAGTAACAACTGTTAGTAATTCTGATAATCTGATATATTTATTATTATTTAATCTTTGTTAGGACCTACAGTATCGAGATCAGTAACAACTGTTAGTAATTCTGATAATCTGATATATTTATTATTATATGTTGTTAGGA